GGCACCCACTGCAGCAGCAGCTAGGGGCAGGGGATGGGCTCCAGCACTCCGCACCTAAGGGCTTTAGGCAGTTTCCAGACAAGCTAGCAAAGGCTCAGGTGCATATGCGCCCTCCCAGCCTGAGGGTGGGGCAGTCAGGAGAGACTCCTTTGGATAGACTCCCCGAAGGCCTGCCCTGCTCCTCCCCTGCAGGGCCCAGACTGGGGAGCTGTCCCCAACCCTTACCAGGTGCAGGAGAACTCGCAGGGCGTCCCGGGCACGCTCAGGGTGCTGCAGGATCTCCGTGAGGGCTTGGCCGATGAGGGAGGAGGGGCTGTTCAGCTTCACATCGCTACCAATGAGCGTGAACCCTGTTGGCAGCACGGGGTCCTCAGTGCTGCCCCGGGGGCACCCAGGGCAGGGCTCATGCTGCAGATCACTGACTCGACTGGTCTCCCCCAAACCCACCCACCATCTGGTTGAGCTTCCTCCTCTGGTGTCCCCTGCGCTGGCCTGTCACCTCTGAGGCAGGGGGCCTCTGTCCACATGTCGCCCCTACTGCCAGCACCACGGGCCAGCTGCCTTCGGGAGGGTGGCTTAAGGGTAATGGGGCAGCACTGCCACAGAATGTGTCCCCTGAAGCTGGGACATTCGTCTGTGGCCAGAATAAGACCCCTTTCCAACCCCACCACCTCTACAAGCAGATGGGGAAGATGAGGGCTGGGTTACCAGGAGCCTTGGTGCACGCCCCCCTCCCCTTACTGGCTGGGGTGTTTTCAGAAGAAGCGCATGGGTGTAGTTCTGTCTTGTCCATTAGGCAGGGCAGAGCTGCAATTGAGGTGTTCTCAAGAGCACCTGAGGGGCAGGCGGGGGGCAGGGCAGGGTCCCCAGCAGCTGTGGTGGGCAAGGGGCTTCAGAAGCAGGCTTCCTAACAGCGCCCGCAGCCGGCCATCCTTCACAACGGGTAGACCTCATGCTGCCTGCGACACCGAGTCTACGCCTCACCGACCCTCCTGGGTGGACAGACGGGAGTCATACTCACTCTGAGGACCCCTGCCCCATCCTGCCCACGTGGCTCTGGTCTAGACTGGAGCTTGTGAGCAAAGGGCCCTGACACAGCACCCAGGGTGCACCCCGGGGTAAGCATGGCAGTGTCTCTGCTCGCTGCCAAGGGACCACTTTTAACCCTGGGGTTGGCCAGCCAGCAGCGACCCTCCTTTCCTGCAGCCCTCCTGGCCCAGCTGGAGGGTGTGCGCGCACGGAGCCTCTCCCGGCCCAGCTGGAGGGGCGAGTGTGCACAGCGTCTCTCCCGGCCCAGTGGGAGGGTGAGCATGCACGGAGTCCCACCCTGCCCAGTGGGAGGAGTGTGCATGCACAGAGTCCCACCCTGCCCAGTTGGAGGGTGTGTGTGCACAGTCTCTCCCGGCCCAGTTGGAGGGGTGTGCGTGCGCAGAGCTGCTACCTGCCCAGTTGGAGGGGTGAGCGAAGAGCTGGCTGCTCTGCACGGCCTTCATGGCCTCCCCCAGGGCTGCACTGGCCTTCAGGCCGCTCAGCAGGGACGAGTAGAAGGCGTGGACGAACATCTTGGAAGCTGCCACAGGGACGGGCCAGAGAGACACCAGCACACACTGGGCCCCAGCCGCCAGGAAGGCCCGAGTCAGGGCGATGACCCCATCCGCCGTGACCTTGCTGTTGGCCTCCTGGGAGGCACCCAGCAGCACCAGCTTGGCGGGGAGCCGCAGGTCCAGGATGTCGGCAGCCGTGAGCAGCAGCTCCTGCAGGGGCGGGCAGTCGGAGACGCTCTCGGCGTCGCTGGCATCGTCCTGCACCCGCAGGGACTCGGGGATGGTGTAGGGGTGGCCGAAGGAGCCCTTGCTGCCGGCAGGCGTGCCCTCCGAGTTGGGCGTGAGCACCAAGGCTGACAGCTTCCAGGAGATGTGGGTGGCGAAGTGGACGCACTCGGCCTGCGTCAGGGCGCTCGTGACCCGCTCTTTGGTGACCATGCTGCCCACCAGGGGCTGGCAGCCTAGCAGCTCGGACACCATGTAGGCTTCCTCCTCGGCCGACGGCATTGGCCCCCACAGCCACCTGTCCATCACTGCCGCCGGGAGCTTGGGGTTGCCGATGACGGCCGCTGTGGATGCCGAGCTGGTGTAGGCGGGTGGGCTCTTCCTCAGATGGGGCTGGGAGGGGAGAGCAGGCACAGGCCGTCAGGCGGCCACATCCTGGGCACCCCGCCCCTCTCCCCAGGGACAGTGGAGACCCCGCGCCTGGGCAGTCTGGGGCTTGGTAAAAGATGTAACAAATGCCTGCCACTGAGTCAAAGCGATCAACCCCTGTCGGTTTCCAGGCCGTCTATGAGGAGCCCACAGACTCGGAGCCCACAGACTCATTTTTGTCCCTGAAGTGGAGCAGCTAGTTGGTTTTGAACCGCCGGCCTTGTGCTTAGCAGTCTAACACAATACTGCACCAACAAGACTCCCTAGTCTTGGGACCAGATTAGGGCAGAGGTGGCTGTGGAGGGACCACCCCTAGGGGTGGAGCACATGATCCCTCCCAGCCTGGCCTCTGCCAGCCACCAGACTGCTTCCCATCGCTCACTGGCCTGTGGGCACTAGTCGCAGGCCGGGGTGCTGAGGGACAGCACCTCAGTGCTGGGTGCGCAGCGGGGCAGGAGCTCTGGGGTGGGGAGAGGAGAGCCATACCTTGGCGTGCTGGCGGAGGGAGCGGACGGCAGGCACGGCGATGAGCGTGAAGCGCTCGTACAGGTACTCGTTGGAGGCGCTGCCCTTCAGGAGCGCGAAGGGGATGAGGTAGAGCTCCCCCTCCAGGACCAGGACCAGCTGGCGGTGCCGCCCCACGGGGCCACTCGAGTGCATCAGGCCCTGCAGGGAGTGCGGCCGCTCAGGACGGCGCAGGCACCAGGCACGGCCCCTCCCCTCCCTCCCTCCCTCCCAGGACAGAACTGCTCTCGGCTTTGGCTTCCCAGTGTTGGGATAGCAGACCGCCTCATCTTTCTCCCGAGGAGCAGCTGGTGGGTTTGACTACTGACCCTGTGGTTAGCAGTCCAATACTTAACCCACTGAGCCACATGAAGGCAAGCTAAGCATGACATGACGTGGGAATGAGTCCTCTACTGGAGTGGGATTCAGAGCATGGAAGTTCTGGAAGCCAGGGTGGCAGCTCCTGGAGGGGCGAACTGGACTTCTGGTGGTCTTCTGTGGAGAACGGCCCTGAGGAGGCTGTCCCACTGACTCCCTCCCAGGTGTCAGGACACCCAACCCGTGCTGTGACACCATCGCTCCTGCAAGGCCACGGGACTCCCATGCTCCGGGTCGCTCCCCCAGGTGGAGGAGGAGGCCCTAGAAATCTGCATGGTGCAGTGAAGTGAGGCCTGTGCAGATGGCTCCAGCCCTCCTCCCAGAGGAGTGGTTTCCCTCCTGGGTCCCAGCAAGGGCATCTGGGGCGGGGGCGGGGGCAGAGCCCAACGAGAGCCTCCCCCCTCCTGCTGACCCACTTTCCCTAACAGGAGGGCCGGCTCCCCCAAAGCGGCTGTTGGAACAATTAGAAGCCAATGTGAGGCGGCTCAGATTGATCTGGGACTCCCCGTCAGAGCAGCTGTCAGTGGCACTGCGTCGTCCTCTAGTGTCCACAGGGCAGGGTGGCACTGCAGCCGTGAGAAGAGGCAGAAAGGCCAGGCTGCTCTCTACCCATCCCTCTGCTGCCCTGAAAAGGGGGTGCTGAACCTTGGAGACCAGCTTCTTGGGGGAAACCCCAGACCACCCTGGGGCTCGGGCTCCTGATCAGATTCTGAGCTCCAGTATGCGAGGGGAGCTGCTGCTCTGTGTCTAGACTGCTCCCCACCCCACCCCCCACACTCCTGCCCCGGGTTTTCCTTGAGTGCTGTGGCTGCATTCAAATACGTGATGCCCCAAAGGCAGGACGTGTAACCACTGGGGCTAAAGCATTACTATCATGGACACTGTGACTGGCCAGTGAGATGGCTTTAGTCCCTGCAGCTGGGCTTCTCCAGGTCTTAGTGAACTGGGCACTGTCCGGACTGTTTAGGCTATGTCTGCAGACCTTCCCCTGAAGGAAGGTCAAAATACCCACTGCCGGTCAGCATGAGCCCCTTCGCATGTCACAGGACAGCCACCACCTGCCACCTCATCAGGAAACGTCAGGGCCGAGGACCCTGGGCACCGTTCCTGCCGGGCAGCACCTCCTGAGGCTAAGGGCAAGGCTGTGGGGGCAGGTCCCAAGTGACCCAGCCTCGCTAACTGAATGGCTACGCACAGGCTGGGCGGGGCGACATCCCACTCACCGCAGGGACTGGTCACTTCCTAACCACAGCCCACCGAGGCCTGCATCTGCTTTTGGCACTGAGACCCCGTCTGTCTCAGGCCCACGAGTGTCAACTGCAGGTCCCCACACTGATCTGGCATACTGGCTGGCCCCTTTGGGACAAGAAACGATGGCAGCCCATGATTCGGGATAAAGTCCACCAGGGGGCAGTGTCGCCCACCTGAGGGAAGAGGGGTGTAGGGACGGCAGGACTTACCCCTTCCATGGGCGCAATGAGCAGGTCGTAGAGTGCACGGAGCGGGGGTTTGGAGAAGGGGCTCTGCCTCCGGGGGAGAGAGGATGTCCCATCCTTGATGGGTGATACCGAGGCACTGAACAAGCTCGGCACGCTCTGGCAGCTCCTGGTGAGAGAGGCCTGCCCTTAACCATGGTCGCTGCCTGCAGGGCTCTGTCTGGAAGCCCACCCGCCAATCTCCCGGGATCCGTCCATCCAGGTAATGTTCCCACCACTGGGGGTCTCGGCGGTGCCTTCTACAGATGTCCCTCCCAGTCCAGCATCCAGTGTGGGGTCAGTGCCTTGGAGCCCCACAGGGCATTTCTACTCTGTCCCACAGGGTCACTGTGAGGTGGAGCTGACCCCACAGCAGTGAGCCTGTGGGGTGACTGCACGCAGGCAAATGTGAGGACCTCCAGGATCCAGCACAGCCCCCCAGCTGGAGAGAGACCAGCGGCCCAAACGCATCACTGCTGGGGAGTAGACTCCGACTCACTGTGGCCAGGTAGGGCAGAGGGGGATGGCTCCCACTGGTTCCCGAGACTGTCCGTTTTTTTCCTTTGGAGGAGCTGTGGATTTGAACCCCTGACCTTGCTGTTAGCAGTCCAGGGCTTAACCAGACAGTGCCCATCACAGTGCAGCAGTGCTCCAGGTTCCTGGCCCTGGCCCTCCAGCCGGACGCCACCTCTGGCTGCACTTCTGCTCTGGAGAGGCCTTTTCCAAAGTTGCAAGACCCAAACTACCGACTCAGGGCTTCCTTTGCAGTAGGAGGGCCTGGCTGTGAGCCAGCAGGGTCTCCTGTCTCTCTTAGCCGCTCTGCCCGACGGTGGCCTCCACTGGAGGGGCTGTCCCAAGATGACAGATCCGGGGACAGTGAACCAACTGGCCAGAAACCAAAGCCAAGTGTTACTGAGGGTCCTGGGGTCCTCCAGAGGCACAGGTGTGTGTGTGTGGGGTGGGTCTGGGCCTGCCCTGCCTCCACCACCCTCTGAGCCACAGCTGCTGGAGGTGGGGTGGGGGTGGGGGTGGGGGGTGCCCTGCAGTCATGTGTCACTCCTTCTCACCCCATTGCTGGGTGCAATTGTCCAGAGATGGGTATAAGCCCTGGAGCCTGGGCACCGTGAAGGTGATGTAAGGGAGCAGTGGCCCCTCTGTCACCAACTGGCTGTGACTCTGGGCGAGGCGAGGCATTTTTAACTCCACCCTCACCCCCGGCCACAGTGCCGACCCTCAGGTCCTCAGTGGATGCTTTTCTTTAAGTCATTTTATTGGGGCTCTTACAGCTCTTACAACATTCCATACATCCATTGTAGCAAGCACATTTGTACATATGTGGCAATCAGCATTTCTGAAAAGTTTCCTACTTGAGCCCTTGGTATCAGCTAATTTTCTCCTCCAGCCCCCAAGAGGCTGCCTTTCCGACAGTCCATCCCCAGGACTTTCTTTCGAGGTGGTACCGGGCGATGGAGCCAAACCTCCAACTTTCTGGTTCACAGCTGAGCATGGGGCCTCGTGTGCAGAACAACCAGGCCTAGCTGAAGTCCACAGAAGTCTTGATTTCAGAGAATGAAATAGAACACTTAGGCAGGCCATCAGAGCTGGTAGCTAGTTCAACCTCACCCTCACCACCAAGCTCCAGTCCTGCCGGACTGGGAGCAGTTTCACTGGCTGTCACCTGCCTGGGGCACATGGTGCCCTGGCACAGGCCCTGCCCATGGTGAAAGCTCTGTGCTGGGGCCTTCTTCCCTGGGGTGGCTGAGGAGCGAAAGTCCTGCTGAAGGGCCAGGGCACCCTGGGCTGCTGGTCCCAGGACCATAGCTAAGAAGTGGGGTGTGGGGAGCAGCCTGCTCCACTGTCCTCTCGCAGGGGTTTGTAGATCCACGGAGTTACGGGGCATGCATTGTTTCCAGCTCTGAGCGGGGAGGGGCACGGAGCCCCAGGAGGGGACTCTGACTCACCTTGCAGACTGAGGCTCAAAGAGGGCAATAGGCCTGCAGGAGGTCTGCAGGTCTCACAAGCCCTACAGCAAGGGAAGGAGAGGGCAGCTCTGGGGTGATCCGGCCCACTGGCCTGGGCTGCACCACCTCAGAACGCCGGCAGGTGGCACTAGCTTGCCGTTCTCGAATCTATCCCTTTACTGCCAGGGGACTGAAAGCTTGGTCAGCATCGGTATTAACTCGCTCCTCAGATGGAGTTTACGCATCTGCTTCTGCAGAAACATTTGTTCTCTCCAGGAGACAGAGGTGGGGTGGCCAGGTGAGAGAGGGCACTGCTGGGCTCTGAGCTGCCAGGGCAAGACACCAGGGGAAGGGCTGCAAGCAGCAGGCAGCATCTCTGCGCCACCACAAACCCTGGCCGCCTGCACACACAGACACCCCTCCCCACCCCCACCCCCTTGGCTCCAAGGAGCCCCCTGTCCGAGTGTCGCCTGCCCAGGTCCAGGGCGAAGCTGCGCCGCCCCCGCCCCCCCCTCCCCCCAAAGTGGAGGGGTTTCAGTCTAGACTGCAGCAGCTGTCCCAGCAGGGCTCCAGAGGAGAGGGTCCAGGGCACCAGGTGGACACACACACACTGGTTTCCCCGACTCTCAAGGATGGAGAGTTAAATGAGCAAACCAACAAATCCCATTAGCTGGGCCCAGGACCCACCTATTGAGGGGGCCACTGGCTCTAAACCCACAGTGCTCTACAAGGGGCCCTGGTGGACACAAAGGGTTAAGCCATTAAGCCTTGGTGGGCAGCAGTGCTCTCCTGGAGTGGGCAACCTAGCAAGGGAGGTCTGAGCTCAAATGCGTGTGCCAGAATGCTCAGTCCGGCAGGAACGCAGGTCTGAGCCCACGGCTTCTTGGAAGGTCGTGTCCCTTCCCAGCTCTCTCCTAGAGCCCACTCCTGTGCTCCTGAGGACACAGCCCCGGAGGGGCGGGGACTCACCTCTCAGGACATGCCCTCCCCCACTGAACTTTTCCTTGTGATCTGATGCAAGTGTACAGAGCAGACAGGCCATTCCCACAATGTAACAACAGCCCTCCTTCCTGGCCCTGCCTGCTGAATGTTCTCTCTGGGCAACGTGTCCCCTCGGGTCCCCTGAACTCGTGCGTGCCTCCCTGCGTCCGTGCATGTTACTGTTTACCTTCTAGCCGAGCCGCTAAAGGGAGTTCAGAGTTCAGTTCCACGGCCACAATCTCAAAGCTGCCACCAGTCCAGCCGACCGGTGCACCTGGTCTTCAGGTGAGGGCTGAGAGGTCTTTGCACTGTGTGCCCTGCTAGCGTCACAGGCATACGGCAGCACCCATAACCACATGCGTAGAAACGTCTCTATCAAATTTGGATGCACATGGGTGGAGCCCCAGTTGCTTCCCCGCACCTGTCCATGTGGAGCACCGCCGTGCAGGGCTGGGGACAGGGCAGTGCCACATCAGCCACACCTCCATTCAGGCTGGGGGTCAGGGTGAACAGGCCACTTTCCTGTCTCCTCACCTTCTTGGGCTGCTCTCACCATAGGTGTGGCCCTGGTGTCAGTGAGGCAGGATTGGGCTGGGGGTCCTGCACCACTACCCCATTCCCCTCGCAGCCAGGCCGTCAGGGCTGAAATTCCACGGGCTCCCTTCTTCCCACCCAGCCCTGACCTTGATGTTCCAAGTCCCCTCTGGGGTCTTCCACATCTGATGAGCCAAGTGTTCAGAGCCCAAGGGGAACATTAGTTAGCCAAACCCCTGGTATTCAAGTCGCCAGGGGTGCCTCCATCCAATGTCAAGCCAGAAGTCTGTCCCCCCACCTCCGGTCCCTGGCTCACCTGTTGAAGAGGCTGTTTCGGCTCACCATGCGCAGGAAGCCCGTGGGGTCCGTCACCGAGTTGAGCTTGTTGTTCATCTCTTCGAACTGCTGGTCCATGAGATCACCAGCCTCGCTCTCTGTCTCACTGCTGGCACAGGCCCTGGGGGACAAACACAGGGATGGGCCCATCAGAGGAGCCACGGCTGCGCCCTGGGGCCTCTGGCCACCTGCCTGGCAGGCGGCCCCCACTGTGTTCAACTCAGGACTCTGTGTGATGCTCCTACCAGAAGGATTGCCCACCAGTGGACTGAAGCCTCAGGACCACACTGATGCCCTGTGGGGGCCTGACCTTTCACCCGTGGTCCTTCCTGGCCACACAGTTAGCTACACACACAGCACCTGGCAGGCAGTAGAGACACCAGGTGGAATTGCCTTATGGGTGAGATGGCTCTCATGAGCTCCATCTTACACCTGGGCAGACTGAGGCCAGACAGAGCCCAAGACCTGAGGTCTTTGGCACCGACACCCCCTCCCTCATAGACACCAGGCCTCACCCTGCCAGGGTTTGGTTGGGGGACAGGGTGCACACACGAGAAGCTAGAGAAACCAGGACTTTCTCCCAGTGGGAAGAGCTGAGAAGTTCACTCCTTTCCCGCCCTCCTGGAGGGCAGAGACCCTGGTAAATAGCACACCCCAGGGACACATCTGTCATGGGGACGGGATGGCCTCCCAGTGCTGCTCTTGGGAAGCAGTGTCGGTGGCATTATCTTGCAGCTCCACTGTCTGTCTGTCAGCCTCAGGCACAGTAGCCGTGGTGTCACAGGAGACTGCCCACTCACAAACAACCCGACACTTGCTAGAGGCGGCACCCGTCACCAGAACTGGGCCCTCAGGCTCAGGCTCAGCTCGCTGCCAGGCTGGGGACATGCGGTGCCTGTGGCAGGGCCTTTCCCACCTTGCACAGCCACCCAAGGTGCAGGGGCTGGGGGCTATGGTGGTTCAGAGGGAGCACGAGGCAGCCAGCACTGGGGCACCAAGACGCTACCCTATCCGGGGCGCAGAGCAGGGTCCTGGGACTTGAGACACTGGAGAGGCATTTGGAAGGGTAGAGAGGGTCTTTGCGGGAGATGGGACAGTGTGGGGCTTCCCTCAGGCCTGGGAGATGGAGGAGAGGGTGAAGGCGGAGGGCTGCCCTTTGGGAGATAATGACCTGGCCCAGAGTGGAGAGTGATGTGCACATGGGGATCTCGGCCAAGAGAAAGCAGGGGCATCTTCCTTGAGATGATACTGTGTGGGGGGAGGTCAGATGCTTACAGCCATCCTCCCTGAAGACAGTCAGTCACCAGACCAAGGGGTGAGCCTGCTCCCTGCTGCTGGGGACAATGGGCTAAGGCTTGAGACCATTAGCTTGGTTCCTGTAAGTGGGGTTCACACCCTATTGATAATGGTTCCTATGGAGATCCAGAGAACAGGTCAAACCAGCTCAGTAAAGCTGCCATCCTGTATCTAGGATATGCCCATCTTGCCACATGTATACCCCCAATCCCTCCTATTCCTATGGCGTGGATACCCCTAAAACACCCCCTTCCACTACTGTGTTACCTATAGCACAACCCCCAACGTATGTCTTCACCTGTAATTAGTGGGCTTGCACGCCCCCAAAGGTATATAAGCCTCTCTCTCTCTGCTCCTCCCTTGACCTCTCCTCGGCTCCCTCTCCTCCCGTTCCCTTTCCCCTTGTTCTCCTTTCCTTCCCCCTCTCTCCACGTGGACCACCAAGCGGGGCTGAGGTGAGCGTGCTACCATGAAATGTGTCTGACTCCATTAGTGCAATATCTCTTTTATCTCTCATGCTCTCGATGACTAATACAATATATATATCAACCATACAATTGTGCTAATTAAACCCACAATTCATGGTGTGGGGGCTGGACCCCCCACCTCATACCACAACGCTGCCCCCGTACTCCTCACCAGCCAATCCGAGACACTCAGTAGTTCCCCACCTTAAACCTGCCCCACTCCTGATCAGCCTTGATATATAAGGGTATGTTCATTTTAAAATGGAATTAAACCAACAAAAATCTGCTGCTACCAGTCCCAGGAAAGGAGTTCTGAGACATCAGATCAATGCAACGGTCATGGGCCGCTGCGTCCCTGCATCCCGCCCCGGCAACGCGTTACCCAGCAGGTGTATGTGGTTAGAGAGCAAAGGCTCCTTGTGTGTCCTTGTCCACCACTTTCAGTACATTCTGCCCAATGGCCTGGACACCCTCCCTGGTCTCCATCATGTCCCTTGCCCTCCAGCTTTCTAGGATTCTGGCTGAACGGGCCTCCCCACCCCATTCTGCTCTTGGCCACTGGGGGCGGTAGAGGACTCTGCTCCCACTTCTGGACTTGGCACTTGCCCACTTGGCCAGATCCTTGCTGGACCCGCCCAACCCTCTGCATGGGGTTGGCGGAAGGCTGAGGCCTCACTCATTACAGCCCTGGAGAGCTGCGGGAGGGCAGTGAGGTCTGGGTCCCGAGTCAACCCAGATACACGGATATCCATCACACTGACCAGAGGCCGGCTCTAGACTGCTGCTTCCCCCATGACAGCCCATGAATCAAGCGTGGCGTCCAGCCAGAGCTCATCACAGCTAGGACGGGCTGGGATCAGGGAGGGTTTTTATGTGCAAGCTGGCCTCCCCACCCTGAAGCTCACACACTGTACCAGGCTTTGGCCATTGAGCCACCCCTCTGCTGAGGCGGCCTTCCTGACGCCCAGTCCACCCCTGCCTCCTCGCGTGTGGACCATCCACCTGGCAACCCTGAAGCCAAAAGCCATGGGCCAGGAGCCCATGTTCAGGATCTGACCAAACCAACCTCTCTGCCATCGAGTAGATTCCAACACAGAGACCCAAGGGACAGGGTAGAATTTCCCCAGTAGGTTTCCAAGGCTCTTAAGTCTTGACAGGAGTAAAAAGCCTCAACTTTCTTCCATGGAGCAGCTGGTGCTTTTGAACTGCTGACCTTGAGGTTAGAAGCCCAACCTATAGCGATTATAGGTAACCACTGAACTACCACGGCTCCTTTTCAGGATTAGACCAAAACTAACCCAAACTCACTGCCATCGAGTCGATGCGGACTCATAGTGACCCTGTAGGTCAGGGTAGCACTGCCCCTGCAGGTTTCCAAGACTGTAGCTCTTTATGGGAGTAGAAAGTCCTGCCTTTCTTCCGAGGAGTGGTTTCAAACTGAGGACCTTGCCGTTAGCAGTCCAACATATAACCACTACATCACCAGGATCAGACCAGAGGTGGCCAAACGCCCCTCCCTACAAAGTTCTTGACAGCGGAGGAAACCTAAGACAGCAGCAACTGTTTGCTGCCCGCTGTGACATCACTGTGAGCAGCTGGGCTGTGGGGAAGAAGCACAGGGGACCAGACGTGGCACTGGCTGGGCTGTCTAGGACAGCTGAAACGACCCCAGGGCCACTTAGCAAGTGAACCAGAAACTAAAGGCCTAGGACTCTGGGAATACGGATCTGAAGGACTTCCAACACTCCCCAGGTGAGCCGCCAACAAGTCCCTGGCTGTGGGCACCGACTGTTCAGCGTCTCTTCTGATTCACGGGACCCGCACGGGTCGGAGGAGCACTGTGTGCCATGGGGCTTTCACTGCCTGATGTGTGTGTGTGTGTGTGTGTGTGTGTGTGTGTTGGGGGGGGATGATTGCCGCTGCTTTCCTATGCGGTGCCCTTGGGTGCACTCATATCTCCAAGCAAGCATGCGAGCTGGTTGTACCACCTGGGACCTCCTGTGATCATCCAAACCAACCAGACTCATCCCCACCCATAACCACCTTTGTGGGTTTCTGAGATGGAGCCTTTATGGGAGTGGATAGCCTAAAAGCCTTGTCTTTTCTCTGAGGAGGGGCTGGTGGGTTCAAACTGCTGATCTTGCGGTTAGCAGCCTAACTCA